GTCCTACCCTCGAAGTGTGGATGAGGACTGTGGAGGCTGTGCAGATTCAGTGGGGTAAGGAGGAGGGAAGGAGGGCTGTCAGATTTGGAGACCATGGAGAAGAAAAGGGTAGGAATGCCTCAGCATGTAGTTAGGAAGTTTCTGTTCTTGGCACTATGGTGTGAGAAGCCAAGCGTCAGAAACCTGCTGCATATTAGGTACCAATCTGCAGCTTAGAGTATAGTGAGAGCTGCAGCAGGTCTCTTGTTGAAGCCAGCAGCTGGAAGGTGCATCTCTGTCTCTGGGGATGGATTGTGTTTTCAGTGAACAGGCATTGAGCAGTAATGAGTTGAAGGAGGCATGAAATCACCTAGATGAAATGCATGTAGTTTTTCAATTTTTTAAAAAATTAACAAATGGATTATTTAATATTTTTAATATTAATATTTTTAATCATTCTGCAACAAACATGGTTTTGTACATGTCTGTGAATATGACTTCTTTCTGATCTGCTGCTCAGGCAGGCTCTAAGGTTATTATAGAGATTTAGGCATCTGCTGCACAAGAATCCACTTGTCCCTCTTGTGCAAGCAGAGTGTGCCTGTGGAAGCCCACACTGCATGGTTTTGGTCTGTTTGGTGAAATGTTAGTTTTTCAGTTACAGTACAAGACAGTTCTAACAGCACTGCCTCTTGGGTGAGAAGCTTAGAATTAGAGGGAAACAAGTGGTGATAGTGCCTATGAAGTTTGGGGTTTTTGCTGCTAACTCTGTGGCATCCATCCATTACTGCTTTTTATCTCATGATCTGATCATCACTTCGGGCATACCACTTGATTAGCTGTCTGCAAGCCCTCAGGGTCTCTCATGGGGCTGCTAATGCTTTCTGTAATCAGCCTAAAAGGGTCTCTTGATGTTGCTACCTTATCTCTTAAATGCTAAAATCCTTGCTTCGGCATCTTTCAGCAAACCAGGGAAGACAGAACTCCCTTTTCTGATGTACAGAAACGCGTCAGAGTCATTTGCTCACCTTTACCATTAAAAAGATGCAAAAAGGGCATTTATATCGCCATCTTCAGTAGGTCTGCTTCCATCTAAATGATGGCACTTTGAGCAAGTGCCTGCTATTCGTGGTGCTGGTGAGTACGTTATTTTGAGACTTCCTACCCTGCGCAATTTCAGCTGCAAAAAGAGAGGAGGGATACAATAAGATGTCAGTGTATAAATGCCTTCTCTTGGCTACTATGGCTTGATCCAGTCTCTGCTGACGGTCTCAAAACAATATTGTAACAGAGTTAATAGCTGTCATTTCGTTCTGGTCACTCCTTTCATCAGCCCACACTGGACCAGACACACTCCAGAGCTTATGGTGGACTAGGCAGTCTTCCATGGAGGTCATGTTAATGTGTGCTGAGCGTGCACACAGGCAGGCTGGGGGGAGTGATTAATGCCCTGAGAATCCACTCTCTGCCTTGCTGCACAATGCTGTTGTGTCAGGCCCGGAGCTTGGCACCGCGCAGGCTGCAGTCCGGCGCCAGGAACATGTTACCTAGTTTGTGCAGGACCAGGCAGCGAGACACAGACAGCGTGTTCTTAGTGGGGCGAGTTCAGGTCTGCGCTGCCGCTTCATACTTGCAGGGTGAGGCTGTGTTTGGATGCGGGTCTGCTGCTGGGCGGGGGCAGGAGTCCGGCAGCTCGCAGGCCTGGCCTCCACCAGCGTGAAGTCCCCGTGCTGGCTCAGCTGCGGAGGAGCCTTCCCTCCTCTCTCCCCCTGGCAGGCAGGGATCACCCATCCTGGAGGTGAGAGGGGACTGTGCTTGGCCAGCTGTCAGGAGCCCTGACTCAGTGGGGATCGCAGGCGGAGCCCAGCTCTCCCTGCACTCTGCTTTTCCTGCTGGAGCCCCTGCGTGAGCTGTTGCTGAAAGTTTGTTTTCACCAGATCAGGGTGGATCTGGCAGAAGCTCGGGTCCATCACTAAGCCTGAAGAGTTGGACTCCGTAAGTTTCCAGCGTGGAAGATACTGGGAGGCTTCCTTCTCTAGGTGGGTATTTGGAGAAAACGTTGGCAGGCAGCACTCCATGGAGTAAACTAAGGCCAAAGTCCTGGAAAACGTAGTATTTTGTGTTCAGTTCATCTTATGGAGCAAGCAAACTTCACAAGGCTCATTCACTGCTTTCAAACACAGTGGCACACTGTCTAGGCTCTGATGGAGTGATCCTACTCTTCTTGGTACTGCTGAGAGAACATGAGCTTGTTGGGATTCCTTCTTTGGCAGTTTCAGAAGTTACTTCACACTTTCTTACCTCATGGGCTGGCTCTCAGGGAATGCTTTTCACATGAATATGTCAGTGCCCATGTTCTGTTATAGCTGCGACTAATATACACATGGTGAAACAATTGCAATCCTACCTGCCCTTCTTGATCTTCTGTCTCATTGGAAAATCTTACACATTTTAATAATGAGTCCCCAGAGCGCCAGGTGAGTTAAGGAAGTGACGCTGCTGTTTTCATGGGCAGGATCTGAGCCCCGGGCAGTGGGAGGGCCATATCCTCAGCCCCAGTGATTGCAGCAAAGCCAGGGTTTGGTCTGCAGCATGCGTGCTGTAATCCTGACACTCCTCAGCCCACTCTTACGTTACACTTTTGACAGAAGAAATGCAAGAAATCTCACTGTGCCATCATGCTCTCCTGGAGAAACTACCCCAAAAATATTGCCTGTGATATTTTTCTCCTCTTTGTCCACTGCAGGCCTGTGAAGATTGCATATTCAGTGTATGGCAAGGATTCCTAGGACCTGAGCTCTGTTGGCAGCCAGTCTTCAGGGTGGAGAGCAGCCCCTGGTGCCTGCAAGGGGCTGCTACCGCTGCGCATGTCACTGCTGCTCGCTCATTCCAGTCAGAGCACGCAGCAGCATGTCCCAGACACCCCACCTCAAACAGCGCAGGGATCCTCCCTTGTCTTTAGTATTTCCAAGCTAATAGATGGCTCTTCCATCTTTTTTCCTGCTCCACATGGTCATGTTTTTAATACTGTTACTCATTCTGCCTCAGTAGGTTCCTGCTACCCTGAACTGCAGCTCTTTGTGCTTCTGATTCACTCCAGTCCATTCATCTCTTTTCGGTGGCAAAGTGCTGTCGGCTGCTGGATATTGGGCTCTTTGTTTGTGCAGCCAGCACAACGCTGGTGACAAAGGGACAGACTGTGCCCCAAAGAGCCCACATGCTACGGGGAAGGCAGTGAAGAGCAATAGGAGTGAGGGACGGGTGGCAGAGGTGAAGGTGGTTGGGGCCAAGTGTGCTGGCAGCAGCAGGGGCATGGCAGGGGGTGGGGAGGGACGTGCTGAGGAAGCTGTTCCTGCCGAGTACAAACCCGCTTTGTTCCCAGGAGGTGAGTCGGCCTGGATAAACAGAGTGGTCCTGTCAGCAGAAAGCCTTTCCCTGGCTGGATCCCCCACTGGCACTCACACTGGAAGCTGCCTGCACCTCGCTAGCAGGGATGTTTTTCTTCTCCCTGTGTTAGCTTCCCCTCTTTCCGACTCTCTGGGCTCAGGTGGGCTGTGCATGGCTGTATGGAGAAACTGGGCCCTCGGGGCCCCATGTACGCACTGTGGGTGGTGGCGTGTGTCGTCACTGTGCTCTTACTGCTGTTAGCTAGATGGGATGGTTTGACAAGCCATGCTGAGTACGGGATGGGTATCATGAGCTAGGCGGCGCTTGGAGGGTGGCAAATGTTCACTGTGCATGTAGAGGTGCTTTGGGAGGGGAGAAGATTGGGTCCAATGCAGGGAAGTTGTGTCCCACTGGATGGAGCAGGGACTCTGCTTGTGGTGTGGGAGGAAAGAGCCTGTGTCAGGGGGGCCGGTGGGGAGGATGCTGATATCCTGGCTTCACAAATGTCAGGGGTCTGAAAGCACCTCAGAGAGGTGTTGGCAGTGCCGTGCTCTGCATGTGATTGTAGTGGGAAGCACCAGTCTGAGGTGCAGATGTTGAGGAATAATCTTAGGGTTCCTGGATGCCTTGGACAGATGCACCTTTTAGTTCCCCTCCCAGACCCAGGTGGTCTGGGAAGAGGGGAAGGACTGTAGCTGCCTTGGTGTGTTGTATTGCATCAATGGTGAGACTGCTTGGTTCAAAGCAAAGATGATACAGAAAAGTGTCATGGCTTAGCAGCCGCTTCCAAAGGAAGAGGGGATCCAGGACATAGACCTTGATGAGGACATTTTTGCCTGCCTTCTGTCTGCCAGAGGGAATTTAAGCCTGGGCAGGGTCTGCACCCTCATCTCAGCCTGGCTTCTGCCTGGTGAGGCCTCCCAGGTGATGGCTGAGCCTGGTGCATAGAAAGCAGAAGGGGCATTTTGAGCCAAGTCTAAGGATGCCCAGGCTGGGTCAGCCAAGGCAAGAGTGGGAAGAGTTCACCAGTGGAGAAGAGGATGGTGGGGTGAGCTTGCCTGAGTGAACTTTGCGCCTCTTCTTTTGCCTGGCAGAAGTGTGATGCTGCTCCAGCACGCACGTCCTGTGGCACTGGGCAGTGACGTGGGGAAGGGGATGCCTCTGCACATCCCACCAGAGCGTGCGTGGTGAGACTGTGCAAGTGAGTGGTGCTATCTGCTCACCCGGCCCTGGCGGGCTCAGGGCCCTGCGCTGCATGTCGGGGAAGCACTGAGCTTCCTCCCCTCCTCTTGCTTCCTTCCTTACAGGAATTCACTTCCAATTTTCTTGCTGCTTCTCCCCCCGCTGCAGCACAAACACATGTCCCCATAGAGACAGACAGAGGGCTGGACAAGGTGGGATAGACCGTGTGGGCTGCATTGTTTGAGACCCCTTGCTTCTGCAGCATGTTTTATGTGACAAGGGGTTTCAGGGATCTCAGGACAGGACCCCCTCATGCTGTTCCTCCTTTTTTTGCTCAGCTAGGGTTTTACTTTCTGAATGTATATGGGATAATTTCAGGTGCTTCTGGCTGCTAACAAACTTCCTGCTGTGTCTCAGCCTTAGGTACTTGATCCATCTTCAGACCCTGTGCAATGGAGGCTGGTTCCGTGGTACGAGCAGTATTTGATTTCTGTCCCAGCGTCTCTGAAGAGCTGCCCCTCTTTGTGGGAGATGTCATCGAGGTGCTGGCCGTGGTGGATGAGTTCTGGCTCCTCGGCAAGAAGGAAGGTGTCACAGGTAAGAGCTGGAAATGCAGCACCTAGATCTACAGATGTGCCAGCTAAATGGCCACTCTCTGAGCACGCCTTCCTTTGGCCAGTGCTGTGCAGGACCAGATTCAATTTACTAATTCTTTCATGGGACTGAGGGTGCAAGTTGCCCATCACTGGTCTCCTGCCAGCTTTTCATCAACTGTTGGGACAGCTTGTTTGGTTTTTTAAGAGAGATTAGTGGAGGGTCAGTTCTCAAGGAGATGAGAGCTTCACAAGACTAGTTGCTCCATCCTCTGTCGTGAGACAGCCCATTTCCTGGCTAGTTTATGCGCTGACCTGCTGTGGCAGTGGAAGGGGAGAGAGGAAACAGATGCACTGAGAGTGGAAATGCATCCGCATCCAAATGACCTCGCCAGGTCAAGTCAGTGGGAGACAAAGCGACAGAGTGTGTGTCCCTCCAAGCTCTCCGACTCAGCCCCACTTCCTCCTTTCCGCTTTAAAGCATTTTCCTGCACAAGCTGCCATCATTATGTGAGTGCCTGAAGTAGTGTGCAAGTCTTAAACTTTTGGAGGGGCGTGGGAAACTTCTGAAGCAGCAAAATGCTCTTAGTGAAACACTTCAAGTCTCGCAGTCTTCTGTATAAGCAGCTCTTTCTCATCTTAATACTGATGTTGAGAGGATGTGTGAGCTCTCAGGGAGATGAAAACCAGGCCACTTCAAAGCATAAGACTGACTCTGTCTTCAGCATGAGGGGGGACTGGAGTTTAATCCTTGGCCATGGAGACGGAGCTGCTATTGCAGCAGCAGTCTGGGCTCTGCTAACAACTGCGAGCTGTGCCCTGGCTAAACCAAATATGAACAGGGGCAAAGAGAGAAGGACTTGTTTCCTGTGCTCCATGTAGCTGATAAATGGCATTGAATGAATATATGCCTGATCCTGATGTTGCTGAAGTCACTGGGCTTAAAGTATCTGCAGAAATCACCAGTATCTACTTCACAACAGTCTTGTCTCCCAGCATAACTCGTGCTTGTTCTCAAGAAGATGCAGCTATTAAGGAATAATAAACAGATGTGTGTTGTAGCTCAAAGATAAAGAAACATGCTGAAGACAAACCACATGTTTTTTAATGACCTTTAACTCAAAA